AATGAGCAAATAAACACCGCATCTGATATATTATTCGAACCACTCAGGCTACTATACTCAAAACAAAACAGAAACCCTGTAACTACCATAAACAATGAAATTCAGGACCAAACTACAGAAACAAAAAGAAAGAAAATAACTGATTTTTACCTACCTGCGAATCCATGCAACAATTAATCAAAAAAGAGGTGAGCAGCTAATTTCTACCTGAGGATGTACACACAGAACTGAAACTACTGGTTGAACGAGACGTACCTAACTATGAACCAACGACGATCTAACACGGCTATAAATAATGACAGACAAACAGAAACTATTCAGAACGAAAAATGACACTGAAGATGGCACAACGCCGAAACCGGTCTGTTTCCAAACCAAATTTGACAAGGGATGACGGAAAATCGTTCCACATTACATCGCAATTTATATTATTGAATTAATTCACGAGGGTTTAATAAAATACACACCAGATGCCTACAATAAAATTCCGATGATTTTATGAAGGTTTCACTTTTACCGGGTGTGCTCAGCATACATATGTTTTTTTTTTTTAAATAGCTGGAAATGTAAGTTTGTGATAAGGCTCTAAATAAAAATTGTTAGGTTTTAAGTATTTTTTCATGTGTAATTTTAAAATTATACTTTGCGTACACATTAGGGGTATTCATCTAAAGTGATAAAGGGATAAATTGCTTAAATTTATCAGTTTATCCGCACTCTTTTATGAACCCACCTTGGCGTTCACAGAGCAATTATATTGTACACAATTGTTGTTGTCAGCTATGAACGGCCTACTAGAATCACTCAGACGAACGAGAGCACAAAGCGTGTTGCCCGAGCACGAGCAACTCGGTGCCCTTCCCCTTCCTCGTCACTCTCTCTCCAACAAGTAACGAGTTGCCGCAACAAAAGTTTCTTTGTCTGAACCTAGACTTATTATTTAACGTATATGGCTAGTTACGTTCCATTCTTACCTCGTACATTGTGTTCATTTGCTTTTATGTGTTCGTAGCGAAAGCGACTACCTGGCAATCTGTAAAGGTTGAATTTTGCTAAAATTTATACATTTATCCACCAAAGTCGTTTGATAGCGTGATAAACTTTGGTTAAATAGATTTCCATACAAAGTTTGACAGTTCATTTATCATTTTATCAAGTTTATCAAGAGTATATCACTTTTGATGAAGACCCCTATTGTATCTATTATGATACTCATTTTCTTTGGTTTAAAAGAAAATAGGATGTTTTTAAATGATACATTTTAGAACGAATTTCCGCCATCCCTTGTCAAATTTGGTTTGGAGACAAACCGGTTTCGGCGTTGTGCCATCTTCAGTATCACTTTTCGTTCTCTCGGAAACCACAATAGCAAAATAGAAGATGTTTTAAACTTATATAGAAGCGAACCAGATACATAACAGAATTTTAAACCAGGAATATGTACCAGGAATAATAAGACAAAAATTTGTGGTATTAATTGTAACAAAAATGTTTGCAGAAAACATTACAAGCATATTTCACAATGTGTAGAATGTACCAACACCACTGTTGATGATTACGCATAAAATTTTAAAAAATAAATGCTTCTAATATGTTTCAGTATAAACACAAATCATTCAAATGTTTTATGTGAATGATTTTTCGACATAAAAAAAATGCAGTCAACCTTTGAGATACATCTTGTGGCTAAATTGCCGCGGCGCACCCTCTCGTGTAACCGAAGGGTTAAAACTATCGATAGAAATCAATTGTCAGAAGAGATTGTCTGTATAAAAAGATATTCGTTTGATTTATTAAACTTGTATTCATTAACTGATATAGCTACGGTGACCATCCGTTCTGTATTATACAGGAGAGTCCTCTTTTTTTACCCATTGTCTTGTCAATTTACTTATTTTATACTGGACGCCAAATGTTCTGTTTTTTTTTAATGTCCTGTATTTGTCCCGTATTCGGTGTTTCAAGGCCTTTATCGCTCATTAAAATTACAAGCCTATGAACTAGTTTTAAGTGATGGTATATGATCGTAATTTTCTCTATAAACAGTTATTATTTTCTAATCTGGACGCCTGTGTTTCGATTCGAGGAATACATACAGTGACCAAAATATAAACTAGCAAGGTTTGGCTATTTTTTCCTTAGTTTATTTAATATTTGTTATTTTTTATGAAAGTAAAGCTCTTTTCCTATGAAAAACCATATAATACTGTTTAGGCGCGACTGCTAACACTAGGCGCCTAAATCCATGTTATTGTTGTGGTTCTTGTTGTTGTTTTTGTTGTTGTAAGAGCATACAAATTCCCCAAAAGGCTTTAAGATCTGTAAGTTTTTGTGGAAATATTTTGCAAAATTATTTTTTCGCTATCGAAGATCGAAAATGAAATTCGTATTATGAGCTATGCAAGCGTGTCGAAATTTTCGTTGAGTATCGAATTTTCTGTCGAACAGAATTTTTCTTTCCTTGGTGTGTCGAAGTGTTAGAAAATTGTGAAAAATATATTACTTTATATTTGTTTTCTTCCTTTTTGGCGACTAGACACTAATTTTAAACAATTTTTATTAATTTCAAGCAGTTCTAACCTCGTGAATAGTAAACACAAGCTCGAAAGTCTGGTTTTACTTATGAAAGAAAATGCCAATACGCTGTTGGCACGATCTCTGAGAACAAAATCATGGAGCTGTTAGTAGTTTTAACATATTTTAAATAGATTTGGATCACAAGATTTCTTAAATATACATATTGTATGTCAAAATATATTCAAAATACTGCACTTAAACTTTCTTAACAGTTTACGCCTGACTCCCACGCGGAACGGTTCATTCGCTAATCTCGTGTAATTTGTCAGTACGTACTAATATACATATTATCGCCTGTTTGAGTGAAAACCCAAGTAAATTCAACGAACCAACAAACTTTAGCCAAATGGCTGATCCTACTGATCGCGACAAAGCTGTAGAACAGCTTTTGTACCAGACCAACAAATACAAACTATTAACCAGTAATTCTAAAACACTTAAATACTTGATAATCAATAGAATTGAAAGCGCGGAAACCCTCTCAAAAGTGTCCCCCTTTCTTATAAAAAAAGTTATTGACTCAGTTTGCGGCGGTGAAGTTGAAATGTGCAAGAAATTGAGGAATGGAAGTATTCTAGTTAAGACAAAAACATTCGTTCAAGCAAGTAAACTAATAACATTGTCTGCCCTATCCCCGTATATTAAAGTGGAAGTGTCTGAGCACAATACTCTCAACCACTCAAAGGTGTCATCTTTTCACGTGAGTTAATAGGTATATCGGAAGACACAATAAAAAACGAACTTAAAACCCAAGGCGTAAGCGAAATAAGAAAAATTAAGAAAAAGGTTGAAAACATTCTAGTCGAAACAGGCTTACTCATCATCACATTTGACAACTCCATACTACCCAGCGACATTCTGATCGGATATGAAAAAGTAAAACTAAGGCCCTACATACCCCTCCCACTAAGATGTATGAACTGTCTAAAATACTGTCACTCAGCAAAAATCTGCAATAACACTCAAATATGCGCAAATTGCGCGAAAACTTCTCACATTGACTTCGAAACCAGCGACAAGTGCACTGACCCATCAACTTGCATTAGCTGTACTAACAATGGATCAGAAAATGCTGACCACAATGCACTCGACAAAAAATACACGGTGTTCATTAAAGAAAAAGAAATACAAGCGATCATCACACTAGAAAAAGTTGATAGACGAAGAGCGATAGCCACATACGAAGAACGTCTCAACTCAGCAACATACTCATCAAAGATAGCAAAAACAAACCAAGTAGTTACCAACAACCAAGCAAACAACTCGTATAACAAGAGCGCAGACTCACCACACTCATCAATGACAGCAA